TATATATATATATATATATATAAAGTAAAAAATTCTAATTTAGCTTTTTTACCTAATTTTCCTACTGTGGTTTCAGTGTGGAATATCTCCTATAATAGGGTATTAGAATTAAACTGCAATTCCTTGAATTCTTATTCATCTTGTGTTACATACATTCAGCACTACACAGACTGCTTTCTTCATTTTGGGGAGGACAAAATATTCAGGTGTTTAATAAGTAACTGAATAAAAACAGATTACAAATTCTGCTTGAACCACAGTGTACACACTACAAATTTCATCAAGACACCTAAGCTCACCCACCACCTTGAATTTCCATAACAAACTTTATTTGAGCACAAGAACTAAGATAGTATTTAAAATGAGACTGAATAAGCAGGTGTGAGGGGTGTAGCGGGAAGCTTACTTTGTGTTCATTCTGGAAAATGTACACATTGGAAGCAGCATGATCAACATCTTTCACCCATTTGCTTTCATAATGCAAACTTCAGGATGGGGGAATGTTTACATTTAGGTGAACTGTCACTGACAACTTTCAGTTGTCACACTGTTTCACAAGCAGCCTGCCACATGCCTAGAAATTTCATAACAGCCCCTCAAATGTGTACACTCAAGAGAGCACAATACTCCACTATACTACTCATGGTGATAAGTGTCCTCAAAATACACAGTGCAATACCCACTGCTCCCCAAGAACTGGGTTTCCATGTGCACAAGGAGAGGGAGTACATTATGCCTCTCAAAGTACTTTCTTAGTTGGCACAAGGATTTTGATGCAGATTTCTGAGTGCAGCCTGTAGCCCCAGTAATCTGGTGCCTATAGGGTGCCCTGCTCAGGTCACAGTCCCAAGCAGGGATTTGGGGAGCAGGAGGTGCTTTCCAAAGGGGCCTTTAGAGAACAAATTTTACTATCTATTTTTCACTAATACATTATGCCTCTCAAAGTACTTTCTTAGTTGGCACAAGGATTTTGATGCAGATTTCTGAGTGCAGCCTGTAGCCCCAGTAATCTGGTGCCTATAGGGTGCCCTGCTCAGGTCACAGTCCCAAGCAGGGATTTGGGGAGCAGGAGGTGCTTTCCAAAGGGGCCTTTAGAGAACAAATTTTACTATCTATTTTTCACTAATTGGATCCTCTCCTCACTTCTCTGCCTCTGTCCCGGGCGGCGCAGAGGTAACTGGGACCTCGCGCCCCTCACATGTAAGCGCCCTCCTCCCCAGGACTAAGGGGCTTGTGAGGGGAGGAGACAGGGAAGTGGCTGCACCGCGGCCTGTGTCGGCGGACGAAGCCTGCGCTGGAGTAGCTCCCCCCTCCGCTCTCTCCCCCGCTCCTCCTCCTAGGCCTAGCGGCCGGCGCTGCAAGTACCTGGTAGGGCTGGGAGTCCCCCCTGCGGTCGTGACAGCTGGAAGAGAGAGAGAAAGAGACGTTAGCGAACAACCGTTACCGGCCGCCGAGGGGGAGGGGTACCACAAACATGGCGGAGGGTCTGGGGGAGCCCCCCGCGGGGGGCGGGGAGGAAGGAGGGGGATTTACCCATCACTGAGTCTCTGCTGTTTCCTCGCATACATTACCATCAATGCCCGGCCTGTGTGTGTGAATGTGAGGGGACCAGGAGGGGACGGCCGCGGCCGGGCCACAGGCGCCGAGGGGGGAGGAGGGGGAGGCAGCGCTCCGCCTCACCACCGACCGGGACAGGGAAGGGGAGGGAGGGAGGGGGCGGCTCAGGCAGCTCAGCTGGGAGCAGCGCTCACGGGCCCATCTCCGCTCCGCACAGCGGAAGGGGACACGCCACAGCTCGGCCCCGCACACTCTGAGACACTGAGGAGCTCAGACTCCTCCGCCGCTGCCGCTGCCTCCTCCCCCCGCTGCGCCCACCGCCGCCGCCGCTCCTCCAACTGCATCCGGGAAACTCGGGCGACGCCGTGTTCGGTTCACGTCGGGTGTTTTCGGCTGTTTTCGGCACACTCCTCCCACTCAGTCCCCTCTGCTCTAGGGCGGCCGTGCCTTCGGGAAACATCGGCTCTTTTCGCCAAGTCCAACGCCCTTAATCTTCCCCCTTCGGGCAACATCGGCTCTTTCCGCCACCAGCCCTCCGCTAGTCCGCAACCAGCCCCGGGAAAACATCGGCTATCGCCGTAGAACGTTCCTCTGTATTCGGAAAGTTTCGGGTTTTTCCGTGACCCTTCACCCCCCCCTCCCCCCCAGCTCTGCGACCACTGCCGGTTGGAGCGCTCGGGGAAAGCAGCTGGTCGGAGCGCCGGGCTGGCTCATTGGTTAAGAGCCCCTCTCCTCTTGCGGAGCATGGCAAGCTCTTGAGAGGCGTGCTCCGCGCTGCTACCGACAGCCTGGGGTGAGAGCGCTGCTTACCAGTTAGTAGCTCTGCCGGCTGCCGGCGGAGGCTCTTTGGCCAGGTCGGACACAGCAGGGGCAATAGCAAGAGAGAGGGGCTTCTCCAAGCCGGATTGAGAAAAGGGAGGCTGGAAAGGGTCTGCCTCAAGCCTAGGAAGCAGCTTATATACGTCCTGTGTTCAGAGAGAAAGCGCGGCAGAGAAGAGGTTAAAACGACCCTGTGGGAGGCTCGCAGCTGGCTGCTTGGGTTGTGAGTGTGTCCCATGCGCTGCCCTTTGCGGTGCTTGTTTGTCTCGTAGCAGCCCCAGTGGATGTGTAAGTCCTAAGACTCGAAAGCCGGAGCTTTGTTCCTATCTGTGTTAGGCATGTGCCTTAGTTATCACCGCCATAGTTGCTGTGGGAGTTGGGTAGCAATAAGAAGAGCCGCTCCTGTGGGGTTTCCTCTCAGGCTTTTTGTAGCTCTCAGAGCTGTTTCTAGCGTCTCCGGCAGGTTTTTTTTTCTCTCTAGCGTCTCCAGTTGTGTTTGGTGGTGGGTTTTTTGTTTTGCTTTTTGGCCTACACTTAGTAGCAAGAGGGTAGAGAGCAGTGAATGTTGGGGTATCCCTGGCACTCGCACCAGCTCCAGTCTCGGTGGCCCTACCAAGCTCTTCCGTGTAGACAATGTGAATCCTTCACTGCAGAGTGCTCTTATCCAAACTGCTCCCTGTGTCCTGAGGAGAGCGAAGAAAAGCAGCTCTCCAGAGGCGGGCAAGTTCACAAAACATGCTTCTCTAATCGAAATGCTAAATCTCCTTCTAAGCCCTGCTCATATATGCATTTGAAAATAGAGTACTGAATTGATTCACTATAGGCAGACCTGGGAGGTACTGAGAGTGGAGATGGTACTTATGCTTAAGTATCATATGGAGAAAATACCTTTCTTTATCCTTGACTTTGAGTGAGTATTTCTAGTAACAATCCCTACATTTCTATTCTCAATAGAAAAGACCATATTTGTAGAGTAGTTTTATATCAGTGATCAAACACTGCAATTTTGAGCCCAAAAGTAGTTAGGTTTTTTTCCAAGAAAGTCATGCATGTCTGATAAATAGGCAGCTACAATGAAAACTGGTTTGTGATAGTTTTGTTGTAATGAAGGGTTGGACTTCATTTAATGTAAACATCCAATAATTATTAAAAGACACTCATTTAAGCACTCAGCAAATAAATGGAAATTCTGGGACCTTGAATTCTGGCCCTAGTAATTTATTCTCTAGATTGGAAAAGGCTGGGAACACCACAGAAATTGTATCTTTGGGGCTGTAAAACTTAAGTCTGAGGAGATGATGTGTTTTTTCTTTTAAGCAGAGTGTTCTATCATGGCTATGTTTGTACTGGTTTGTTAGCATAGGGTTGCTCACAAAAGCCCAGCTACAAGCGTTTTTATTTTGTTTTTCTTTTTTAAATAAAAGTGCTGAAGGGTGTTGCTGAGAGAAAACTCAAAGCAGTGGCAGAGTCCACTTAGAGGGTGGAGCCTGGAGGATGACTCAGCAGGGAGCGGTTCTGCAGGGTTACAATAATGAGCTGGTGAAATACATGGAAGACTTATGCCTGCAAAGAGAAGAACTGAACAAACAGATCCAGGAAGCGGAAGTGGAAAAAAATAAACTCCAGCATGAAATCCAAATCCTGAATGAGCAACTGGAGTGTGTCTGTGAAACTTTGACCCAAAAGACAGCCTCACGGAACGAGCTTGATAAAATCCTTGCAGAAACTGAAGCTGCTTATATGAAGATTTTGGATAGTTCTAGAATGCTGCTAAATGTCCTGAAGAAGGAAGTGGGGAATTTAAACAAAGCTGCAGAACTGAAAAGCAATGTGTCCTGAAATACCCAAACGCTTGGACTCACCACAATCACAATGCCTCTTGCTCAGAAATAAGGTTAGCCACAGAACACTATGATGAGCATTTATCTGAGAAAGGACTCTACCTTATTTTTTTATATGTTTTAGCACATTTTAACATCATGGAAAATAATGTACAATAAAGATAAATAAAGGTGCAGTTTTGCTAAAAAAAATTCCTATAACTATCTTTACAACACCTATGAAAAATTATACACTTTGTAAATAGATTTTAGGAAAATAGAGGTCAGATTTTGCACTAGGTTTGGCATGATGTTTACTTGCCCTTACAGTTGTTAGTCAAGGAAATAATTTTTTGATGTACTATTCAAGCCCTGAATGTTCACTGCTGAGTTTCATTGAGATTTATTACTATTCCTTAAATCTGAAAAGAAAAAGCACTTTTGTCTCTCTTCAGTCACACCTCTAGCAATGGCAAGAAGACTTGTTTGTGATTTCTGAAAGAAATTTAGTCCAGTTCTCTCTTACCTGGGGAACATTGTCACTGAGCCCTGGGAAGAAGAAAGGGATGCTATAAAATGAGGTAAATGCTGAATATGGACAAAATACTTTGGGCTCCTTTTGGCTGAGTCAAGATCATGATGATTAATTGTTTTTAGTGGTTGCTAGCCAAACAGAAATCTGTTAACAAATTCTTCTTTTTTAGGGTCTGCTGTCTATCTGAAATTTGCCCATAATTCAAACTCAATATTTAATTTTATAAAGATGGTATCCAGAGGCTCTATGCATTTTTGTGTTGCTTTAAGGCCCACCTACACCCCTTCTAAAATAAATGGAACATGAACACTTAGTCATTTACATCAATATATGTTAAAAGTAAGTATTTTTCCCCTTTTAATACTAGTTAAAAAGAACTCTCAAAACTGAATTTCTAAAATTTCAGTTGGCCATTTCCTTATAAAGTGTGTGGCAACTGTAAACTTGCATACTGGGAGAAAACAGCTTCCATCACTTTTATACCAAGTGACTATATGTGGTATTCTAATGGGAAATTCTGAGTCTTTAGAAATCTTGACCATACATGGCCTAACTTATTGTGATAGTTCTTATCACTGTGGAATCTTCATACAACTTGTTGCAGTGACAATTTTTTACTTAACTTTGTAGAAGCTGTCTGTCTACTGGGATCATCTTCTCTGAGGGCAAAAGACAAAACTACCTGAAGACTTTATTTTGGATTCACTTGTGTAAAATGTCTATTATTCATGTATTATAGACTCCAAAGAATTTTGAAGAATATGGGTGGGAGAGTTCTAAATGCACATTAAGAAAATAATATTAAAGATGGTTCTCTAGTTTTGAAGTTTTCTTTTGAAAGTGATTAAAAACCTAGTTTAGAAGGGCAAAGAAGAGAAAATGGCAGAAATCTCAATTCTAATCCTGTTTTCTATTTCTAGTATGTATTAAATCTTTTATATTGCCCTACACAGTAACATATTGTAGCACTAGGTTTGTTCTTAGATGTGCCTGGCAGTAAAATCTTTCATACAGGTTCTATACATTTAAAAGACTGCAGTTATACACTGCCTGATAAGTAAGGGTAACACAAACAATGAATCCCTCAGACGTAAGAGTAAAGGGTTTGTTACTGCACATTGTCTCTAGTTAATTAGTCTATATTCAGTTTTTGCATCCTCCTGATTCCCCTATGTACAGTGCTGCTTTTAAAAAAAGTCTCATGGGGATAGGATGGCTGAGCTAATAAACAATTTGTTCAAGTACCATTTCTGCTAGTCTCTTGAAAAATACAAAACTAGCCACTATTAGGGATTCTGCTATTGTTTGGTACTGTAACTCTAATGAGGTAAAATCCTGCATTCTTGTTTTTTTTTACTTCACAAATTACAGCAGATATTTTTGACTGAGTCTGAGCTTCTGTCTATCCATCCACATGTTTGATCTGCTTACCCTGTCTGATCCTGCTGAGTATTGATTACTATGTCATGTTTGTTACTGACATCACAACCTTAGATTTTTCTTAGTCTCTAGATAAGTACAGCAAGGACTTCTGTCCTAGCTTGGCATGTAGTTGTTTTACTTAGACATAAAGAATTTCAGGTGGAAAAAGAACTTGTATCATGAAAGCTCTGGTTACAGAGAACTCAAATGGCAGCTTCATACCTCTTGTATTTCCCATGTCATTTGGAAGGAGTGAGTGAGAGGCAGTTTGTCAATAAAATAACTATATCATATGCAATAAGCAGTATTTCCTATTACCATGCTTAAGCAATTAAAACTTTAGTTTAATTTTACAATTTATGTACAACATCAGCTAGTACAGACAAAATTGAAATACTTGTGCTGATAACATTTTTTTTTTTAAAAGCCAATGATTGGCTACCAAAAGCAAGCAAATACATTTATTATCCCAATATCTCAACACAATGGGAATACAATTTAAATGGTCATATGCTGCTAACTGAAACTCAGCTGAAATTAGTGGACAGTTCCGAAGCACAGATGGAGGGCAGAGTATGGCCTTATGTCTGCTCTGTTAGGGTATCTCTACACTACGGTGTTATTTCGAAATAGCTCATTTTGAAATAAAGTGTCTATGCATAAAATGCATTTTGAAACAGCATTTTGCTATTTCGAAATAGCATGTCCACCCTGAGTGCATTTAAGGCTGGCCGGAACCAGTTCTAGCAGGGCACCAGGACAGGACTTACTGTGTGGGGCTGCTGCCTGAGGTCTGTGCTTAAAGGGACAGCCAGTTCTCAGGTTTCCCTGCTTGCTTGTCTACCTCACTGAGGGACAGCAAAGTATTTTGTCTCTGTATGCTCTGGTTGCCCTCACTCGGGACACCACAGCACTCTGCAATATGGAGCCGGAGCTGCCCCTGGGCACTCTGGTGCTTCTCTTGGATGCATTGCTGCGTGCCTGGCTGCACTTTCTGCAGACTGCCATCCGGGAGGTCTATCGGGGGGCTGTCAGTATCCAGGAGGCCCTGCATGAGAGCTTCTACCCTGAGGAGCACTAACAGCCTCCCTGGTTTGCCCCACTGGAGGCCTGTGCCTCATTCCTCCCTCACGTCCTTCTACTTACCCCTCCCTAACTCTCCTTCCTGATGTCAATAAAATACACGTATTTTCATGAACTTGGGTCGGGGCAGTGACTGCTGGCTCTGGGCTGGCAGGCTTGGAGCTGGTACAGGCACTGTGGCCTGAGTCTACCCCTTTAAGGGCTCCAGGCAGGGGGGAGGGAGAAGAGTGTTCTTGGTTGAGGCTGGGTGGCCATCAGGTCACCCTGGGAAGGCTGGAGTCCCCCTATTTCAAAATAAGTGTCTACACAGCACTTATTTCGAAATAGCTATTTCGAATTTGGTGTTATTCCTCGTAGAATGAGGTTTATCAAATTCGAAATAAGCGCTCCGCTATTTTGATTTAATTTTGAAATAGTGGTTGGCTTGTGTAGACACTAGGAAAGTTATTTCGAAATAACAGCTGTTATTTAGAAATAACTTTGCTGTATAGACATACCCTTAGAGTGTTTTTGCCTCTTATTAGTGCATAACCTCTGGCCAAATGGCATGGATAAGGCCTTTTTAAAGTATAGATACTCTATACTCCTAACATGCTTGACTTTTCTTTAGTGGCTGCAATTTAATTACAATAGGATTGTAGAGCATTCAGGAAACAGATTACATCCTAACAAATTCAGTTGCATTATGCTATTTTAGGTATATATTATTCTGTGTGTGGGGAGGGGGGACAGGCTTTTTAAAGTTCTGCTATCAGAGATACATTGGGAATATTGAAATGGAAGCTGATAAAAGTAGGAGAGAGGAGGTGAAGATGTTTGTACAAGTTGTTCTTAGCTTAGAATAAACCATGGGCTCTCAGAGTTAGGAACCCCAATGAAGAAATACAGACACAGTGTGCAACGTTTAAATTATTCTTTCTTCAGAATAGAATAAAAAGCGAAAAAAAGCTAAGCCAGGATTTCTCCTTTTCAATATTATACAAAGGTGTCCTTTCACCCACCCCTGCATATGCTTCTCAGTTCAGCTGTGCCGCTCGCGCACGCAGGTCCAATGCCTGCTATGCCCCCTTGTCCGGTGTGCGGGGAGAGTTCTGAATAACAATTCCCCCTCTTTCCTCAGTCAGGGGTCCGCCCTCTCTCACGGGCCCCAGCCCAGGGCCCTAAGAACAGGCTCTCACAGCGTCCTGTCCGGCTGGTGGGGTTGATCCCCGAAACTTACCAGCCCACTGGCAAATCCTGGTATGCCCTGCCCTGGGCTGCTTCCTACCCCACTGACCTCAGCAGTGCTTCCCTGCACTGGCTTGCCTCCCCTGATTCAAGCCCGGTTTCTCTTTCTTACTCTGGGCTCCTCTTTTTCACCTTTCATCTCCAGGCTCTCCTGGCTCTGTCTCCCTCTTTCTGCTCTCCTCACCCGTCTCTCCTTCCCAGCCTCCTCCTCTAGACTCTCCTCCAGTACTCTCCTTCTCCCTCCATCCCTCGTTCAGCTCTCCTTCTCCCCTTTTATTCCCCGTTGGCGTCACTCTCCCTGACATCACCCACTGACCTCCGGGTGGGGGCATCCTGACGTCACTGACGTGACCTGACGCTCAGGGTTTACCCGGCATCCGGCTCCTGCACCTGTCAGCTGGGCTGCAGCTGCCGAACAGCATGCACAGGGGGCCGGTGTTTCCCAGCTCGCCCCAAGGAGCTCATGCACCACCACGGGGTTGGTGTGGACCTCGGCTAGCTTGAGACAGCAGCCCCACACACTAAGTCCGACCCTGATGCCCTTTTGGCACTGGTAACGACCAGCTTTACCTTTGATTCAGGTCTACTCAACATGGACGCACTATTTCGAATTAGAAAAACGCTATTTTGAATTAGTTTTTGTGTCTAGATGCGTTATTTCGATTTAGCTTATTTCAAATTAACTAATTCGAAATAAGTTAATTTGAAATAGCGCTGTAGTGTAGACATACCCCTAGAGAGCAGTAGAGATGCAAGTTCTGGCCAGAGTGTTCAGAGTGGGGCACTGTAGGATGCCTCCCAGAGGTCAATAGCCTCAACTTTCACCAACGCTGTGTCTATGCTACTGTAAACTCGACTATGGGAAATAGTGTTACTTCACATTAAATTAGGAGTAACAGCATTGACTTCAGCAGCCCTTAAGGTTGACACAATAGGCTTGGTAGTGTGGATGCATCATTTAGAAAATCGACCATACATGGCTAAATTCAATGTAAAGTCCTAGTGTGGACCAAGCCTAAGATTATGAAAGACCTTACATGGGCTTGTGGTTGTTGCACTGGGCCAAATTTTAAGAGGTGCTGGTGATCTGTAGCTTCCATGGAATCCACTGCTCACCAGCGCACAGAACCTTAGCCTTTGTGAATAACAGAATTTCTTTTTAAACAGTTCTGAAATAGATTTTGTGCTTAACCCCTCTGCCCCACCTTTTGTCTATCTGCTCCTCTCTGTATGTAGATCAGCTACTATAGCTACACCAATGTTTGTACTATTTTTTATTTGAATCTGTGCTAACAGTCCAGTACAACTTAGAGAGTGCTCTCTTGTGTTGCAGCTTGTTCCAATTCCAGGGGCAAATTCTGTGGAATTTGAAGGTAGCTGCATTACACAGGTGTAATTTGAGTTACAGAATCCAGTGTTCATGCACAAGCCAAAAATAACACAGCTTGTGGGTTTTTAGTAGCTTTTTGCAGGCCTGAAATTTACTAAAGCCTTCATTTTACTTGTACGCTGACAAAGTTGACTCAAATATAGAATCTCATTATGCCATTTTTACACAGCTAATAGTCAAAGTAGAATCACACTTGAAAAAGAAGAGATGTAAAAAACCTAGGGAAAATTTTTAGGTGTGTATTTATTTAGGCAGTTGTTCTC